ACCGGCAGAGACCTCACCCAAACCGTGAACGCGGAAGTTCACGCTTAAGGGGGGGCCCTCAACCGCTCCTTCGCGGATTAACCCCAGCCTGCACGAACAGACTAAAACGGGAAGCGAAGGAGGTCGGCGGACCCTATCGGAGGGTCACAGCCGGGGACGCGTTCAAGTCAAGTCGTCTTGACTTCTCGGACGTCAAGGACGCGAGACATAAGAACAGGACAGTACGAACTGCCTGAAAAAATGTTGGGCCCTCGTAATGACCGACATTACGAGGACCGCGAAACCCGGTTCGGATCGGAAAAGTCGGACGACCCCCCCCGAACAGGATTGCCGGACGATCCGTTAAGTCCAGCAACCACGGCGAGGAGGGGCGCCCGACGAACAAGGAGATCAACAGTGGGATCACGAGGGCCCTCGGTGGGAAGAGTAAGCGACCAAGAATGCCCGTCGCTTTGGTCTCGGTATAACCGAGAAGGGGGAGGCTCACGTCGAGCTTTCAATCAGCATCCGCGTCGGAGAGCCCGGCAGAAGACCGGATCATGACCCTCCCGGTGTGGATCGTGGGCGAGAAAGCGCGCAAAACGCGTCGGCAGATGCGCAGACGAGCGAGGCTGCATTCCCCACAGCAGTGGCCAGGATAGTTAAGGATGGAGGGGTAAGCGAAAGCAACTCAGCCTGAGGGGCACCAGTATATGCGCACAGACGCGAGACACCCCAAAACCGCCGCCGACACATGCCCCATAATACGGAAAATTACGGGGGATGAGAACGTGGCACGTGAGCGAGTGCGCGCCATGCTCCAACACCGGTTGCGTCATCACCAAATCACCCCGCCACCACCCCCCGAATATATCGAAAAAATTAACGGGGCAATTACACCTGCACGCGCATGGCGTATGGAGATACTGTACGCCGGGCGAAAAGCAAGAGCAAACCAGGACGGCGCTGCCCGAGGGTACAAAGAATGCCCGCGTGAGGGTACACACGTCACACGCCCCCCCGACCGTAAAGGGAGGCGGGCGTGTGACGGAATCGTATGCCCGCATCGAGCGGATGCCTCGAAATCCCGACCCACGACACGCCGCCCGAGCGGCATTCTCCCTCTATCCGCCTACACGCGCGGCCACGGACGAAGGGAAGGCGAACGTGAGCCACTTGCGCGCTTACGCGCCCCCGCCGCCCAAGACAAAGGGCTCCGAAGGGCGCGATACCACGACAGCCTCCGCTACTGACCACTCCATTCGCGGCATCATGGGGACGCACTCCGAATGCGAAGCACACAACGCGATCGCGTATTCGAGAACGCAACACGCGGTCGCCACGCACGCAAGCCAAACGCGACGCCTATCCCCCTTTTTTTTCCCCTTTCAACGGTACTAAATCTGACATCCTGTTCTGTGCGCGCCGCAGGGACCAAGAGAAGATCGTTCGCTACCGCCGACCATGGTCGCCGCGAGAAATTCTGCGCACCGCGCGCCCGCGTACGAGACGACCAGGAGGGGCGGGAGCACCGCCCGAGCAAGCCCCCCCGGGAGACAAGTCGAAGATTGATGAAACGCACAACCCACAGCCCAAACGTCGAGGACGTCATAGGGGCTTCGACCGTCGAGGAGAAAGTCGCATTGCACCATGCGTTGGATGCCTCGGGAGGCTCCACCAGCGGTATGCCGGCGGCATAAATTGAGATCTGTGGAAGCCCTCGTCGCAACAGCGTTCGGCGATCGACCCAATTGCGTCATCGATACAAGAGCAAGGACTCCCGCGCACAAGTACCGCCCCCGTCAGCCGCGAAAAGGCCGATATGACCGTTCCCCCTCTGTAGCCACTAGTCGCTGTACCCACAGGGCCACGCACTCAACCTCTACGAGAGCACAAAGCGCCCTGTAAGGACGCACGGAGAAGGGAGCATCAGGGAACTACTGCCGGCTCGAACGACGACGTTCGAGTCGCCCCCCTCGGGCACTGGAGGGAACATCGGGAGTAATTATGATAGCAAGGAAGGAACGCAGGCAGAGATTCACGGCCTGCACAGCTGCCCCAGGGACGACCCCGCCCCGGCGCATGTCGCTCTCGGCACGCGAAGAATAGAACCGGGCCGGCGCCCCCACAGCGAAGGGAGCTCATTCGATGCCTCCCCGCGGTCGGGGCGTGACCACGATCTCAGCCCGGGCCATACCTTCGAAGGGACGAAGGGAGACGCATTCGACAATGCCGTGCCCCATGGACCTCTCAGGATGTGGTGGCGCCAACGCCCATTCCCGGCTCGTGCCCTAGCCGAGAAGGGTGCACGAGCCGGTCGGCGACCCGGAACGCGAGCGTTCCCGGAGACATAGTACCGTAAGATGAATGTCTCACGGCCGGGGGAGGACGAGACGCATTTCGACAGAAGGGGACGAGCATGCACACCCCCGCCTCCACGCGCAAGAAGGCATGAGAGGTAGACAACGGGGACGCGTCTCCGTTCGCGACGCGCTGCAGGGAAGACTTGGCACCCCGGAGAACCGGCGGCGTCGCGTTCAAGAGCGAAACAGAAGAAGGGGGAAGGGGTCAACACGTGTACGCGTGTGCCCCTGGGATGAAGCACAACACGCGAAATATACCGAGGCCGCACCGCAGCTTGTGTTGAAAATTTCGCAAGAAAACATTTTCGCGGGAAACATTTTTGGGCAATTTTTTTGGGCAATTTAATCGAGAGCATAGGGCAGTCGCTGGAGCGTGCGCGGACAAAAACGCCTCTGTGTCCGTCCGTCCGCGTCACGTGCGGTAACTACAGTACGACGCGTGCGGCGCGCGTCTGTGAAACCATCATGTCTCTAAACTGCGCAAGTACGGTTTGGATTTTGTAACGAGATGCATCCGCCCGCGCTGCCCCACTGCACGCTCGTGCGGCTGCGCTCCTACATCACGCGCGGCCCCTCTTCGAGCGTCCTCAGCTCGCTCTGCGTGCCGCCGACTACGCGTGGGCTATTCGATTACTTCCCGTCCCCCCCCCGAAACTATTTTCGCGAAGCGCAACGAGCTGTTTGGCATCGACGCCGATACCTACCTCGCTGACCCATCAGACGGACCACGCAACCGAACACCGAGGAGGACATCCTCCTTGAGGACGTCATCAGATGCAGCGACGCTCCGACGCACCCAACGTCCCACAATTGCGCGCCTTTGGCCCCTACACGACGCGCTGCCACACCACAAACGCGCAATTCCCCTGATCGACACCGTTGACCGTCAACCGCCGGAGGGCGACTGCGTCGTCACCACAATCCCCTACGTCTCGCCCAATCTCCCGTCACCGTGCTGGCGGCGGCCCAGAGCCGATCCGCTGCAAACAAGAGAGAGGAGAGGTCACTGGAAAGGACAGTGATTTCCGCACGGGTGGTTTGGGGAAACGAAACGCCGACGAGACGAACGTTGTCGAAGACCGCGACGCGTGACGCAGCGTCGAACCCCCTTAGCAGCGGAACCCGTGACAAGACGGAGAAGGGCCAGAAAACTGAACCGTCGAGACCGTACATAATACTGTGCGAGGATTCGGGAATCGCGCCGACGGTAAAACGGCTATCGTGGAGAAGGGAGCTCCGTCCGACGCGTAACCCACCTGCGAAAACAAAACGAGCGGGTCGCCATCGCCGCGGATGGGGGAAGAGTGTATGGCAATACGAGGATGCTGGGACTGTCATAAAATAACGCACGGACGAGGCCACGGGCATTGCGAGGAATGCGGTGGGAAAACGTGCGGTATCCGGGGCACCCCGACAATCGCGTACGAGTTCGGGACGAGTACATGGAACGGATCGGTGACGCCTTCTCGCAACGGAAAGCGGGACGCACGACTGCACGGGCACGGCTGTCGAATCGGCAAGGCAGGGGGGAGTGAACAAAGAAGGACATAACTGGTCAGGCAACGGAGCCCCTTCTCACGCCACCCTGGACGAAGATAGAAAGCGAGGATCAGAGGGGAAGGAGACGGAAGGATTACGAGAAGTCTTCACGGACTAGAGACAGGACGGAGGCGCGGACGGAAGCACCAAGACAGTCCCTCTCAATGTGGCTCGATGGTAACGAGAGGAGCTGGGGTGGACGTTGGCGAAGTGGATTGGCTACGGTGTCAAGGAAAACAGGGGAAGCACGTCGGGAAGGAAAATCACCAGAGTAAGGGAGGAGAGATCAGCACGCGCGCGAAGGAGCACGGGGCGAGACGCCGAGAATACCCCCCCAGAGAGCGGAGTCGTGGTAAGGAGCGGACGGGACCGTATGGAGGACGCGGTTAGACATGGCTCACGCTCTACAAGCACCCGTGGACGCGGACGTCCCCGCTTAAGGGGGGGGCCGTGTAGTATAACCCCCCCTGGGGCTTTATTTTAGATTAGATCAACTCAGAATCGGATCGGTTACTGTAGGGCTCGATGCTCTACAGTACCACCACGTGTACCCCCAAGTACAGGGGGGCACGTGTACACGTGTACGCGCGGAACGAAGAGCGCGCACACACGTGTACTGTCAGCCCCGATGGCTGACAGTATTACAGTGTCGACCGACCGCTACAGTACGTCGCTACAGTACATCGGTACTGTACTATTATGATAGGTTATTATGTACATTAAATATGGAGCGGACCGGCGGCGGTGGAGGAGGACAAGCAGGGACTTGTCACCCACCGACCGTCAAGGTCCGACTTCCCGCTTATTCTAAGGTAGCGCTCGCTAGCTACCTTAGAGCGGCACCGAGCGCGGGTTGAGGACGCGCGCGGTACGCCCACGAGCCGGCTCCGCCTCCGCCCGTCGGTACTGGAACGTCACCCAGTACCGCGCCGGGGCGTCGAGGCGTCGAACCGCTCGCGCGTACCGGCGTCCTCCCCGTTCCCGCTCTACCACGCTACCCGGGCCCGCTGCCCGGTGCCGTTAGCTGGTGTCCCGCTTCACCCCCGTCTTCCCGTTCGGACGGGGTCTACGTCGAGCTGTGCATACACCCCTCTCCGGTGGGGGTGTTTATGCTACAGTATGCCTTTTCGACGCGATATGAAATGTACGAATTGCAATAGACATGGGCATACTGCAGCGCGTTGCTGGGGCAAGGACGTGAATGGGCGCCGACCTGCACCGCCAGATGGGTTTCGGTCACGCAACACTGGCTTAAAGCCAAGTGCATTCGTTTCTCGAGATGAAAATTCTACTGCTGCCTTTGCGGAGAGTGACTTTACTTGCTTGCTTTCGACTTCCACTCCAGAAAAGAGGGCTGCAAACGCAAGGTCATGGCTTGTCGATTCCGGTTGCAGCGCTCACATTACGTTTGATCGCTCTTTGTTCGTTACGTATGAACAGATGCAATCTGGATCAGTCGAGATGGGCACGAAGGCTAGAGCTAATGTCGCTGGTCGCGGCGAGGTAGAATTCATGTTGAACGTCAACGGTAGTCCCCATCCTTGTAAATTGTCAAACGTTTTGCATGTCCCTGATTTCGGATATTCGCTACTGTCTGTTAGCCAAATGGTTTCGAAGGGTTTGCAAGTGTCATTTGAAAATGAGAAATGCCGCGTTACTGCAGGACCAATTGTAGTTGCTACAGCGAGTCAAGTTGGGGATTTGTACATACTTGACGTCATGAATGAAACCTTTTCTGCTCACGTAGTTACCCTGCAGACGCTACATGAACGCATGGCCCATGTTAATGTACAAGGAATCGCATCAATGATTCACAATAATGTGGTAAGTGGCATCAACGTTCGTCAAAGCGATGTCATCAGTGCAATGAATCCGAAGTCTGACAACCACTCTCCCATTTGTCCTGCGTGTGTGTTTGGCAAAGCAACGCGATCAGTAATCCCAAAACAGCGATCATGGTCTCGAGCACAGAACTGTCTTGACTTGGTACATTCTGACGTTTGCGGTCCGCTCGAAGTACAGTCAGTTGGTGGCTCGAGATACTTCATTACATTTGTAGATGATCACTCGAACTGGGTAGTTGTGTACACGATGAGAAATAAATCTGAGGCGTTTGCAAAATACAAGTTGTATGAAAAGTTGGCTCAAACCCACACTGGTCGCAAAGTAAAGGTGCTTCGCACTGATCGAGGGGGAGAGTACTTGTCGACGGAATTCAAGTCGCATTTAGATTTAAACGGTACGCAGCACCAACTCACAACGGCGTACACCCCTGAACAAAACGGTGTTGCTGAACGTTTAAATCGAACTTTGATTGATCTTGTCCGCTCAATGCTTTCTCATAAACAGGTCAGTAAGCGATTCTGGGCCGAGGCTCTTGCCACTTCGGTATATGTACGTAATCGAGTTACTTCACGCGCTTTGCCCGTTAATACAACTCCGTATAGAAAGGTCAGCGGGGCAGAGGGAAGAAGGATGGTTGAAGGTTGCTGGTGGTTGACGGGAAAAGAAGTTGATGCCATTTTACTCTTGGTCGCCAACTATTGGCGCTACTTATACTCTTCGAACTACATACAATACGAGCCATTAGGGCTGGTCACGTGACTCTAACTATTGGCGCTACTTATACTCTTCGAACTACATACAATACGAGCCATTAGGGCTGGTCACGTGACTCTTGTTCTTGCACTGGTTGATAATCACATGACTCTCCTTCTTGCACTCTCTCTTGCTAATAATTTGGGACCGTTTGAGAGTCAATAATATCTGAATGTACTGTCCTTCTTGCACTCTCTCTTGCTAATAATTTGGGACCGTTTGAGAGTCAATAATATCTGAATGTACTGTACTGTAGATTACAGATTTTACACTACGATTAATAACCACTGTGGCACATACGTCATACGTGTCACACACGTGTCAAATCGAGAAAAATGAAACATGTTCAGAATGTACTGTAGAGTGCCACGAGGTACATAACTTACACGTGTCAACACCAAAATTGAAACATGCTCGGAAATGATAGGAAAGTGCAACTGTGTACAAATATGACACGTGTCCACCTTGAAGACCAAACATCCTGAGAATGCTCTTGCAAGCATTTTAGGTTTCGTCGACGTACACGTGTAATATCTGTCAGGCTTGGAGCTTAGCATGTGGTCGAAAATTTCCAACACTCCCCCTCGATCACATGCTTTTACTGGACACTGCAAGCCCCAGAAGTTCTACAAACTTCTGGAATAGAATTCGCCCAAGTGCTTTGGTTAAGATATCGGCAGGCATCGAAGTGGTCGGACAATGCGACAAATACACAATGTTTCTCTTAATAGCATCTCGTACGTAGTGGTATTTTACATCAACATGTTTGTTGCGACGGTTGATCGATTCATTCTGTGCAAACGAAATCGTCCCTGCATTGTCACACCCCATCATGATCGTGGGATCAGAATCAAGTCCGAGGACATCAGCAACAACTTGACGCAACCAGGTCGCCTCCTTACACGCTTCACATAGTGCAATGTACTCAGCTTCACACGTCGAAGTCGCAACCACAGTCTGTTTCCGGGAACTCCAACTGATAGCTCCACCACAGAACTTGAAAACATATCCGCTGGTCGACTTGCGAGAGTCTGAACAACCGGCCCAGTCAGCATCACTGAAACCGAGCAACTCCGGCGATTTGGATTTATTGTCAAACACGATTCCTAAGTTTCGAGTCCCTTGCACGTATCGCATTACTCGTTTTACACCTGCCCAGTGTGACTCACATGGGTTGGCAGAATGTTGGGAAAGCTTTCCAATGGCGTATGCCAAGTCTGGACGAGTGCCAACCATCAAGTACATAAGGCAACCGACTGCCTCACGATACGGTGCCTTTGTTTCGGAGTCGTTTTCGATAGAATTCGTGGTTTTGCGACCTTGTTCCATTGGAGTCAGAGAAGGGTTACAAGTCGACATTTTAAAACGGTCAAGCACATTTAATGCATACTAAGTTTGAGTGAGACTCAATGTCTTGATAGTGCGATCTCTTTGAATCTCAAGACCAATGCAGACTTTTGCCTCACTAAGGTCTTTCATCTCAAACCGTTTGTTAAGCTCCCCCTTCATCCATTTGATGGCATGGATATCACTACCAGCGAGTAACAAGTCATCGACATAAAGTGCAATTAGCATGATAGTGTTACCAATGCGTTTAATGTAGAGGCACGGATCACTACGTGAAGTCTCAAATCCCAATTCACCGAGTAAGAAATCATCCACTTTGGTATGCCATTGACGAGGTGCTTGTTTAAGACCGTAAAGTGCTTTCAAAAGTTTACACACATGATCACTTTTGCTTTTGTCAACGCAGCCTTCGGGTTGCTCCATGTAGATGTCTTCATCCAAGTCGCCGTTCAAAAACGCAGTCACGACATCCATCTGATGAAGTTCAAGGTCGTAATGAGCAACTAAGGCAAGAAGTAGACGAATAGTGGTAAACTTTATGACAGGGGCATATGTCTCAGTATAGTCAAGACCCTGCACTTGCTGGAATCCACGGGCAACAAGTCTGGCTTTTGCACTTTCAACTATATTGCCATTTGCATCAGGCAGCTGCTTGACATTGAAAACCCATCGAGATGTCAAGATGTTTGACGCCTCAGATCGAGGAACAAGTTTCCAAGTCCGATTCTTGGTCTGCGAGGCAAGTTCTTTGTCAATGCCGGTCTGCCAGAATGCAGCTCTAGGACCGTGGGTTGCTTGTTTGAAAGTCTTGGGACCTTCAATAGCGACATGCGCATGTGAAAGAAGAGCAGCTGCAAAGTTGCTCCTCCACCATGATCCGGGAGGTCTACTGATTCGAGACGATCTTCGTACAGCTGGAGTCGGAGTTGGAGGGGTGACATTCGGAGTTTCGACGGGAGGTGATACATCATCTTCATCATTCTCACCTACAGAGTGAGTGTCCTCGTTTTCAATAACCTCCCCTGAAATTTCATCCTCTTCCGACCCAACCTCATTAGCATTTGGGGTAGCGGCTTCATTCTCATTGTCGCCACCGAGCAATACAACGCCAACGTCAGAGCTGATTGAATCTTTTTTATGTGCAGGAATGTCATGCATCCCACATGTCGATTCATCAAACTTGGCATCTCGTGAAACAACAACTTTACTCAGCTCTCCGTCCCAAAGTTTGTATGCTTTACTGCATTGCGAATAACCGAGAAACATCGCTTCACGCGCTCGCAAGTCAAGCTTACGGAGCTCTAATTTCGGTAATGTATACCAACACTTTGACCCAAATACTCGCAAATGGCCAACATTTGGAGTTGACTTCATCCAAATGTGATGGGGAGTCGTGTTAACTGGCAAAGCCCGTGAAATAACTCGATTGCGTACATATACTGCAGTGGCAAGAGCCTCTGCCCAGAATCGTTTACTGACCTGTTTATGAGAAAGCATGGAACGGACAAGGTCAATCAAGGTTCGATTTAAACGTTCAGCAACACCGTTTTGTTCAGGTGTGTACGCAGTGGTGAGCTGGTGCTGTGTACCGTTTGAATCCAAATATGACTTGAATTCTGTCGACAAGTACTCTCCCCCTCGATCAGTGCGAAGCACCTTCACTTTGCGACCAGTGTGCGTTTGGGCAAACTGTTCATACAACTTGTATTTTGCAAAGGCCTCAGATTTATTTCGCATCGTGTACACAACAACCCAGTTCGAGTGATCATCTACAAATGTAATGAAGTATCTCGAACCACCAATGGACTGTACTTCGAGCGGACCGCAAACGTCAGAATGTACCAAGTCAAGACAGTTCTGTGCTCGAGACGATGATCGCTGTTTCGGGATTACTGATCGCGTTGCTTTGCCGAACACACACGCAGGACAAACGAGAGAGTGATTGTCAGACTTTCGATTCATTGCACTGATCACATCGCTTTGACGAACATTGATGCCACTTACCACATTATTGTGAATCATTGATGCGATTCCTTGTACGTTAACATGGGCCATTCGTTCATGTAGCATCTGCAAGGTAACTACATGAGCAGAGAAAGTTTCATTCATGACATCAAGTATGAATAAATCCCCAACTTGACTAGCTGTGGCAACTACAGTTGGTCCTGTAGTAACGATGCATTTGTCTTTTTCAAATGACACTTGCAAGCCCTTTGAAACGATTTGGCTAACAGACAGAAGCGAGTATCCGAAATCAGGGACATGCAAAACGTTGGACAATTTGCAAGGATGTGGACTACCATTGACGTTCAACATGAATTCTACCTCACCACGACCAGCAACATTGGCTCTAGCCTTCGTGCCCATCTCGACTGATCCAGATTGCATCTGTTCATAAGTAACGAACAAAGAACGATCAAATGTAATGTGGGCACTGCAACCGGAATCCACAAGCCATGACCCTGCGTTCACTGCCTTCTTTTCGGGAGAAGAAGTCGAAAGCAGGCATGTAAAGTCGCTTTCAGCAAAGGCAGCAGTAGAAGTTTCATCTCGAGACACGAATGCACTTGGCTTCATGCCGGGGTTGCGGGACCGGAACCCGTCTAGCGGTGCTGGTCGGCGCCCATTCACATCCTTGCCCCAGCAACGTGCTGCGGTGTGTCCATGTCGATTACAGTTCGTACATCTCATATCACGTCGAATAGGCATGCGATTTACAAGTGCAGGTGCGTGGGGTGAAGTAGTAGAAGCGGTCTTCATGCTCTCTCGTTGTTCCTCTTGCAGCAGACGACTCTTCACAAAATCGAGTCCAAACACTTTATCCTCATTGCCAAGTGCGTCAAGTGCAACAATCAAGTTATCGAATCGTGGAGGCAAGCCATTCAACACAGCCATTGCAATTTCTTTATCGTCAATCTCAACACTCATTGACTGCAATCTGGCAGCAAGTTGCTTCACACGATTGATGAACACGAGCACTTTCTCGGATGGGAGCATGGATACAGTGTAAAAGTCGCGACGGGCGGCAAGTTTGTTGAGCAAAGTATGACGCTCAAACACATTCAGAATTGCTTCCCATGTCTGTTTCGCACTGCTACACCCTCGCACATGTTGCAAGTAGTCATCAGAAAGCGTGAGTCCGATGACTGCCTTTGCTTTCGCATCACCACGAATCCACTTCCTGCGATCATCTGAGGTCGCATTTTCCGATATATCATCAAAAACGTATTGATCGACATCTCGGAGAGCAAGCAGTAGCTCGATTTTCTGCTTCCAGATGTAAAAGTTAGATGCGGTCAGCTTCTCGATTCTGACCGATCGAGAGCTTTGGTCATCCATTTCGCCGAATGGATGTACCCTTCGAGTATACAAGGTCTTCCGTCCCGGGATCCCAAGCCGTTAACCGATAGTCAACACAATGGCAAGCCCACCCGTATAGGAAGTTTGTAGCGATTACTCGGAAACGTTCTTGGTGCTTGTTCCCGGCGGAGTGGAACAAGCGTATTCTTCTTAAAAATGCCTTAGGGCGCTACCCCTGTATGTCGGCCAGTGCGGGTCTTTCGACTGTGAACTAAATCAAACGTGCCACGAGTAAGCACAACAACTTTGCCTGTAGACGAACCAGGACTTTTGGTTACTACCGCGAACGGTCCCTGCAA